CTTACAATGCTGAAACATACCACTGAATTGTAAAAAATGCAAATCCGATATCTGCCAAAAATTTAGGAAGAGCATGGTCAACTCCATTTCTTGTTTTAAAATATACAATTGTTTTAGATACCTCCAGAGTAACATCTCCAATATCATGAATAAAAAGAACTAGCAGACCAATCAAATGGAAACTAGAAAAATAGAATTAGGATGAATTACCAACAACCGTGAACAGACAAGATGTTAAATTAAGTATACAACTGCATTGGGGTTATATTGGTCATAATGGGTGTATTTTATAAACAGTGACATTTTTGACATAACTATTATGTAATTGGAATTGTTTGATAGTTTCTACATAGAATAAGAACCAGGGTTTTTCACAAAATTTTGACATAATGCTCATGCAGCTTCTTGTCGGTGGATTGTCAAGTTGCTAAAAAAATTGAACGAAAGGCTCTGTACTACATATACAGTAGTAGTACAGGGTATTTCGACAAAAATTACAATGAAATAATTCTCAATTTTTATAATTTTTTGATACATATACAATTCCTTATGCTGTGTATCAGCTTTGAGCTAATTCCAATCAAATTTAAATTTTTTGGAATTTTAAATTTGTTTAAAAATCAGGCCAATGACCAAAGGCTTTTATATACATGTAGCCTTTGTCAAATTCGTCAAAAATGGCTACTACATTTTTATATATTTTTTCTAATACATATGCATGTCCTATGCTGTGTATCAATTTTGAGCTGATTCCAATCAAATTTGGATTTGTTATGAATTTTTAAAGTTGTTCTAAATTAATGCCATGTACTGTATGTATAGGTAGAAAGTTTAGATTAACTTCAATCTATATCTTTTCATCTGCCAAATCATGTTATTTTTGAAAAATTAATGCCAAAAACACTCATTACATAATACGTGATACATTGATGTTCATTTATATCAGGGTTTCCCTAAACAGCATGCTTCATGAGCTGCATTGTACAAATGCATGTTTTTAACACTGGCAATGTATATGGGGAGTGCAATTCTTCTAGTCTATAGCATAATTACATGTATACACCAGACCTGGGGTCAATTACAAAAGCTCAATTACAATTACACATTCAATTACACTTCTTTTGTAAAAATAGACTCAATTACAATTACAATTACACCATGATAGTGTAATTTCAATTACATTTTCAATTACAATTACAATTTGATGTACATGTATTGTAGCAACATACTTTGCAGTGTTTATACTATGTGTTTAAAAGAAGTTGTTTTGGTACTTTACAGTATCAAAAGCACCCAAAGATATACCAAAGTACATAAAGAACATTTCTTTGTGCATCTGTACATTCTGTAGTTAGGTAACTCAAATATATTTGAAACTTCAATTACATAAGCTGAAGCTCAATTACAATTACAATTATGTAATTGTAATTGTAATTAACCCTTCAATTACAATTACAATTGTAATTGACCCCAGGTCTGGTATACACAATACCATAGTCAATAAATGTGTTAGTCTGGAGATAGATAAAATATAATTAATTTTAGACTTACCGGACACCATATGAATAGAATAATAAGCCAAGTGTAAGGAAATGATGAAACATCAATGCTAAAAAGTCACGACGAATTGTCTCCAAATACACAGAAGCATATATACAATGGAAATAAAATCCCATCTGGAGCATATAGAGCCAATAAATACTATTAGGAATGGCATTACCTAAATTATAACCTACAAACAAAGACTTATTTTTTCACTAGTTTCAATATGTACCTTCCCAATGACTGTCTAGTTTGAAGAAATACATCTCATCACTAACGCAACACAAGCACAATGCCCAGACCCATGTCACTATGTATATTATGCTCTTCCAAGCACTCTCTGGAAACTTCTCCGCATCTTGCTCTATTATGTTAAAGTACTTTGGAAGTGGCTGTAAAGGAGAAAATTCATTAATTATTAATGAAAACACAAGTGTCATTCTTACTCTTAAAATGAGAGAGTTTAGAACAATGCGAAGTAGTGTTAAACCAATGGCTATACTAGTAATATGAATCAGTTCAGTCCACCCAATATAAAATGCTAAGTAATGCCATTCCCAGGTTTCCTTTAGCCAATTTCCAATGCCATCTCTAGGATACCTATAAAAGAGTTGAATGGCATAATTGGCTGCAAAACCATATAACGTATGTAATTAAAATAGCTGGGTTGTAGATCTAGAGTTTCTCTTAATGGCAAACATGCTTCTTTGATCAAACAAAAAAGATAACTTATGTGGTTTCATTAGATAACCTGATAAGAGTAGCAAGAGGCCATATACAAACATAATTATAGACATTAATTAAGTGCTAATGTGACCTTTGCTATTTATCCTAAAATGGTACTTACGGCTAGGCTATTTGACAAAAAGCCAATTAACAATAAATTCATCTTCAGGGTAAAGCTTATATTTAAAATTCACTCAAATTATATGCTAAAGGCTTCTTTCATTTATTTGTCACAGTAAGTTTTGTGTTGTGTGCGTTTAGTCTAGTTTACATTGGTTCAATTACACTGTATGTTACAACAAAGCCAAAATGTGAACATTCATAATGTGATGCTTTTTACCTGTTGAATAATTCTTGACTGAAACGAGAGATTACTGTCCAAAAACATGACACAGGGTTGGGAAAAATAGGTGAGAAATGTTTTGATTCCATCAACAACTAAAACAACACGATAATTATGACTTGGCTCACTAAAGAGAATTATAACTGAGGATTTAGGAAGTCTATCTACATTAAACTTAGAGACAATATAGCTCAACTTGAGAAACTTTACTGTAATGACATGCATAGATTTATGGGAAGCACGCACTATAAAGGCTGTATGGTGGCACACAGTCAGTCACAAGCATCGCAAATCATAGCACAAAACTATATAGCACCGCTTACCCTGTATCAACTTGCCACCAGCTTTCTACTACAATGAATCCTATTGTAGTAAGATGTAGTTCAGATGTGTAGCTCAAGTGCCAACACTAAATCTCATTATCAGATCTGCAGCACTTGGCCACGCCTCACATTAGTCTAGACACAATTACAAAAATTAATGCTGGTAAGATTGATAAAAGCAATGAAGCAATTAGTAACATCTGTAACAAGGGTTGCAAAATATTGTTTAATATGAGATCTACTTAATAATTTCTCGTTCATGTTTTTCTAAATACAATACAATATTTTTCCATGTGTCTATAGATTGCTCTACAGTGATTTCTTCTGGAAACCTGTCGCTAAAATGATGAGGTAATGTGTCTGCTAGATGATAGTTTTGCAGGTGTGGATAAATTGTATCTCTTAAACTAAAAAAGAACAGTTAATAGACTATATTGATGATTAATGTAAACTTACGACCAGCCTAGTTGAATGTTATGTGATTCAGAGAGCTGTGCAGTTGTTTCAATGAACTCATACAAGAGATTAAGGAATGGAGGAATATCTATTGATTTCAAGTACACCATCAAGTCCTTCTTTTGGTCTTCTTGAAGACATTTCAGTAAATCTTTTGAAAATGAATCAAATGGCTCCTTGAAAACATGAGATAAAATTTTACAATCATCAATAAAATTAACACTTACTTCTCCCAGTATAGTCAAATTCCTTCCAATTTGTACTGAGAGAGTCACCCACAGTGACAAAATATGAGATAATGTACAAAACTCCATCACCTGTACAAAAATGTATAAATAATTGTGCTGTTAAGCTATATTGATAATTCCATACCTTCTTGCTTACAAATCTATCTTCCATTCTTAAAACTCTCTTCACATATGTCTTCAGTTCCATATTAGCATTGTTTTTGCCGGAGGAGAGAAAACCAATTACAATCTCAACTACATCAAGACACTCTCTCATACGCTGCATACTCCCTAATTCACTTATAATATCAGTTTGCTGTTTCGTACTCAATTGCATCTAATAAAAATGAAATATTAACAACGAACAATATTAATAAGAGGAAAAGCTTGAAACAAAATGACATATAAAGTACATGTAATTAAAATATAGCAAAGAAATACTAAGTTTACATGTCATCATCATCATTTTAAAGAAAAATGTCCCTATTTTGCTGTAATCTAAAGTATAACTGTTGTATGCTGCCTGACAAACTCAGTAATAATAGCAGCAGCATACACTACATTCCCATGACTCATTACCTGTGGGTATACGTTCCTTCTAATGTTAGCAAAAGCCTCGGCAGTGTATACATCTTTCCTGTATACTACTTGTGGTATCTCAAGTTGTATGATTGGTTTTCCAAGTACAAATCTATCTAAAAGGTGTCTCTCTATTCCAGGAAGATCATAATTAATATTTTGTCCTTTTCCATGCTCCAGTGAATAACGACTGTGTGAAATGACTAGTGAGAGTATTTCCTCTTCATAGCTGAGTAAATGACATGACTGGATCTGACTGACAGGAATTTTGAGCTGTGGTGTACTAAAAAATTATAAAGACTCAAAAAGGACTAAAAATAATTGATTAGATCGCACTAATTTTTATAGAAATATTTCATTGCAGGTAACTTACATTTTCTTTTGTACAGTCTTGATATGTTCATAACACATATTGATAAAATCATTATGTAGTCCAACTAATAGATCAACTAAAGCAACAGTACAAACTCCGTCTCCTTTTAGTGTGGGTATGAGATAAGAGAGTGGAGTATCATCATCCCATGTTACTGTTTTTAGAAAATCAGAATCAACTGGAACACGAGCTATAATTATAAAAAGAGTATGGGTATCCTTACTATCCTAGATGCAATAACTAAGAAATCTTACTATGATCTTTTAGCCTTTCTTTGACAAGTGCCCAAGCTTTCCTTAAACATTTCAGTTTCTCATAAAGCTGATCTCTCTTCATTTCATAGTGAAGGTCTATGCATTTTATAAGGTAAAAATAAAAGAGTGTGTATAACTTACCTTTTTGTAGCATCGAAGTGTTCATATAAGTCCCAATTGAAATTTGAGCTACTTCTTTCTTGTCAAGTTTCCTGTGGCTTAAGTGATACATTGTCTGCTGGAGTTTGACGATTGCTGAAAGATACTGTGTAGCTCTCAGTAATGGCTCCTAGTAATTAGAAAGAATATTATCCTGAGAGGCACAAACACAAAATAGAATGTAAATAGGACATGCAGTTAAAGTAAAGTCACTTTAAAAGTTATCAAAAAAATTCATAATTTCTAATAATAAAAATTATTAAATTATTTTTTAATAATAATAATTTATTATGAATTTTATTCATATAAAAATTCATAAATCCATTGAATGCAAATAAGCATTTGAGTTCTTTACAAAATTCAAACATAATAAAATTGTGTTACCTTTTTTAGAAATTCATGTAATATAGGACATGTTTCCTTCTGTGTTGAAACAACTTGAGATAAGTGCTCTAATGTAATGCGTGAGTGATAACTCCACAAGTGAGGAGTAACAGCAGTAGGAGGTACATTCACTCTCTCATGAATAACAAAAAATAGTCGGTTAAGATCTAAAATAGTACAATTCAACATTAATACTGCTAATACAACTTATTCATACCTTCCTTCCCTTCATTTAACTGCAATACAGTTGCTTCATTCAGTTTAGTGCCTATGTTCTGAATCAATATAATTTTAGAGTATTGTTGCACATATCATGACTTACAGTTAATATAGGGTTAATGAATGTTTCAGAGAAATCTTTCTCCCATTTATCTCTGAGCTCCTTCTGGTCAAGTTTCACATTATTAGCTGTTGCACAATGATCATGTTATTGTAATTAATAATTTGTAGTACTTACATGGCTTGTTAATGGTTGAAATACTCTGAAGTATCAAGTGCATGAATAAAAAAGCATCGTCCACACTCTTTCCAATAGCTTTACTCAATAAATTAATATCATGTTGTAAATGTTGCCAGAAGAAAAGTGACAGCTCAGCTGGTCTAACTTTAGACTTAATAAGATCCAAGAGACCCTCAGTTGCATGCTATGTAAAAATATCACAATAAAATGAAAACAGTTAGTCAGGGTTCCCACAGTGTGCCAAGCAGCTAAACAGCATGATTTATGAGCTAGCAACAAACCCTACAATTTTTGGCCAAATTTTGAAGCAAATACACAACATTAAAACATTGAAAAATATAGGAAAATTTTCTGAGCTGGCAAGAAGGCAAATTTTATTACATGTGAGAAACCCTGCAGTTGGTGCACTGTACCTCATTAGTACAGGAACTCCACAGTAATGAACAATGCATCAGTGCTCTAATGACAGCACAGGATGAAGGAGTGAGTGATCTTTCAGTTAACAAGACAGTCTCCCTTTGATTTGGTAGACCAAGAGCATAACCAGTCTCAGTAATATCAGTACTACAAACAAAAATTGAATAAAATAAAAGCAGAAAAATCATTAAAATTATGTAGAACTATTTTTAACTTCATCAGCAATGATTTATCTTACGTTCTAGCAGCTTTGTTAGCCACTTCTAGTTTGTATTTTAAGCCTCCAATTTTACAATGACATACAGGACAAGTATACTCTTGTACTGGCCTGCCACACTGAAATTAATGATTGAAATAATTTAGAGTCACACTCATTAGAACTCACCTCAGATACAAAGTAAAGATGACCTTTTAGGCACTCTGAAATAAATCACAGCTTGAATATGAAATAAAATATTTAGAAATACCATAAAATTGTCCACGACCAACAGCATTTCTGACTATAGGAAGTGAGTCCTCAGGCATAGTTGGTAAATATGAATTCTATTAAAATTGTCCATAATAAATAAACACAAGAGTGGATAATTATTTATAAAAGATATTGAGAAACAGTCAACTATGTAAACTATAGCCATTTTAAAAATTTATCATTGGTACCTTGAGTTTCTCCGGAGAATTAATCATTTGAACAAATGGAGTAAGTAATTTGTTAGAACAATGTTGCACTGAGACTGCAACATGCACTATAAGATCAGTCAGCAGTCTATCCCGAGAGCTCATTCCTGATCTCAGCATCATAGGCTCCAGTATACCATAATAAGTATCTTGAATAAGATGCTGAGCAAACCATTTCAACTGCATTATTGCCATTATATACATGTACATGGTGTCAAAAAAATTACTTCTCTTTTTAGTGAGTCACATTGTCTAATAGTAGTTAATATTTGAGCTTTAGTTTCATCCTAAATGGAATATTACATTAAAGCAGGAGTAGTAGTTCCAACTCACAGTAATTCTCTTAGCATCATATGTTAACACCACACTTCCAGTAACCACTTGATAAACTCCAACCAGTAATGGAACAACATCAGCAGCAGGAACATTCTAATAAATAGTAATGTGACATGTTATAAAAAAAGGTATGAATTACCTCAACAATCGAGTTAAATTGTTTTAAATCTTCGCTATACACAGCATCAGTTAAAACAGTTTTTATATTACCATAGCTCTTATATATGACAAATGGATCATGAACTACTTGTGATGCCTCCTAACATCAATAAACAATATAATGCAATAAAAATAGATCTATACTTCTTTTGACAGTCGGAGATTTTCAGGTACAATCCACTGCATACTGGGATCAGAAGTAAGACTGCTAAGAAAACTCACACCATATTGTCGTGCTATTTGTTTCATAAGAAATACACCAGGCCCTGCCTCATTATCATTGATATTAGGATCACAGCAACACTTCTTGGTCATGTCCATAAGAAACTGTAACTGATGGTGTGTGTAAATCTTCTTGTCATTAGTAAACATAATCTCAGCTATGACAGTCATTGAATATCTCAAAATCGAGACTCCTTCAAGATAATACATGCTCATATTTTCTCCAAGTGATGAAACAGTACCAACAAGCTTAACTAGGTCCTGGCCCTTTTCAAGTAGCTGAAGGATTTTTTCAGTCTTTGCTTGTGGGGGTAAGTGATGGTGTTGCTTATAAATAGCATCCTGAAACAATAAAATTATGTAAGTGACATAGTACATGTACCTCTTAAAAGAAGTAGTAATGATATATCATTTTGTGGAAAATTCAGCAAACATGCAAAACTTATCACCATGTCATGCAGGTTTCCCACAAAGCATGCTATGTGAGCTAAACAGCATGAGCTCAATGAGCTGACAAGTGCAACAATATAGATGCACTTGGAGCAACTTAGTCCCAATTTTGAGCAGCTTAAAAAATTCATATAAAATCCAGATTTGATCAAAACCAGTTCAAAGTTGATACACAGCATAAGAACATGTATATGTACCATAAAAAATTATAAAAATGAAGAATTCTCTCCTAGTGATTTTTGACAAAATTTGACAAAAGACCCAAGGCTATTATAGCCTTTGGTCATTGGCCCAATTTTGGAGAAAATTTAAAAAATTCATAAGAAATCCAAATTTGATTGGAATTAGCTCAAAGTTGATACACAACATAAGGACATGTATATGTATTAGAAAAAATTATGAAATTAGAAAATCCTCTTTTTGCAATTTTTAAAAAAATTTGGCCAAAGACCTTAATTTGGTCATTGGCCCAATTTTGGGGAAAATTTAAAGATTCAAATTAATCGGAATCAGCTTAAAAGTGATATACACAACATAACAACATGTATATGAGCTTTTTGCAGTATCTGCTAACAAAGAGCGACTTAAGAAAATGTAGTGATAAATGATAAGAAATGTCCTTCATGCATAATACAGTATTAAACTAAGTACACATCAATGCATAGATAGGTCTGTAACTCTGTATACTTCACATAATTCTCTCAAAAGATATTGCACAAAATCAAAATGATTCCTATGTTTGTACAATGCAATTTTAAAAGGTCTATGCAAAATGGTTTTTATAAATATAAGGGGCAACTTCTGTTGGGACTTGGGCTTAATGTAGAATTTATCGTATAGCTCCAAATTTTCGTCAGTCAAAATTTTTGTCAAATTCGTCAAGTACTTTTGCTTGACGAATTTTTAACCGCACGTGGGTAGTATGTGGAATAATAACAAAAATGACGAAAATTTTATTAACAAAAACTAATTTTAACAAGAAAAGAAGATTTTGACAAAATTTTTGACTGATGAAAATTTGGAGCTATATGGTACACAATACTTTCCTATATACAGTATATATACATAGGCATAGAGTTATGCAAAATCACTATGTATGGGAGAGAAATTTAAAACTACATTAACCCTAATATTACATTAAGCTAACTTCATACCTTTTACAATTACTCATAGTTACAATATACATGTACAAGTATATTAGTAAAACATATTACACTGCATGTACCTCTAGACACTGGACGCATAATAAACACAGACCACGATCGTTTCTAATCAGCTGCTTTGCTCTTGAAAAATAATCAATTAGATGCTCTTTAACTTGATCAGTGCTATTATAAAAAGACATCCATAAACAACCAGCAAACTGTTGAATACATTGTTATACATTACTTGTATTCTAATAGTAGCTGAAGTAGAAATGATCGTATCACAGGAACGCTATCGTTTCTTTGTCTTTCAGAGTAAGTGAATTCTCTAGTCTTTTGCTGATCAGTGAACACAACATTCAACAATTCCTTAATGAGGTCAGGCTCTGGAGGATTCAGTTGACCAAAACACAAAGAGGAGACAACTTCCATGAAATAAGACTCACAGCATTCGCGAACTTTCTTCTGCATATTGGTACTAGTAAATGAATGATAAGAATAATGGAAGTGCATGAATGTACATGTACTCACGCATATTTCAGCTTCTTTTCAACGTCTTTGTCTAAGACTCTCAACACTCTTTGAACCTTCAAAATAGTTTCTCTTTTCGTAAAATCTGATGGCAAATCACTTGACTTCAAAATCTATTTGATACAAAATAACATTGAAGCACTTGAAAATACAAACAGTCATACTATATCAATCCTTTTGGCATACTGGACAAAAATATTAAATTTTTCATCATTAAGTGAACACTTTATGGCAACGTGTTCAATAAAAAGTTGAATAGCTTTCACAATCTGCCAATTTAATCTACAAAGAATAGACAGAATACAGCAACAAAATAGTTTAGTACAATAGTAATTGGTAACTGGTAAGTATATTGCATCAACTCAAAAAATTCTAAACTTTAATAAAATAATCAGTTATTTATTCAAAATTTACAAATGCAAGAGAGCAGTAACATTATAATGCTCATGTCATACCCCTACATGTACCTGATTTTATGTGTAAGGTCACTAAGTGAAGCCCGGGTTGATCCAAGAGTCAATATGGTATCAATTGAATTCTGACACAATTGGAGCTTGACCAATCTTTCAGGAATATTCTTTCTTTGATGAGGTACCAGTGGTAAGGCAAGGTTATCAGGACCTATAAATAACATCACTGTAAGCAAAGGCAAATCAAAATCGTGACAGTTATAGTCTTCTGTTAGAGAGGAATAAAGAAAAAGAAATACATGTAAGTAAAGAATCTTCATAATTATTAATCTAACCATCTTGAAGTAATAGTATTAGTATTCCAGGTATATGTGATGTAAGCTGCCCAAACCACATTATTTCTTGTTCATATTCATGATACACAACATGCACTGCCAATAGCAGGGAGAGTAGTGAATTATGAGGAGAGAAATCAGGACCAGTAACAATTGCATTCAGTGATTTTCTAAGTATCTATTGAAGTAAAATAATATCAAAATAATGACTTAGCTTTAAACAAAAATAACACAATGGTGTTAACTTTACAGAGCAAGCAAAATGTACAATAACAGTATTCAAAATTAAAATTATAAAAATGGAGAGTTCTCTCATAGCCATTTTTGATGAAATTTGGCTGAAGTCACTATACAGGGTGCTTGGCCCATTTTTTAGCAATTAAAATTCATAAAAAATCTAAATTTGGTCAGAATCAGCTCAAAATTTCTACAAAACATAAGTACATGTATATGTATCATTGACAAAATTTTGCTAAGACCAAAGACTATAGGTTGTTGGCCTGATTTTTAGCAACTTCAAAAATTCATAGAAATCTACTTTAGCCTAGAGCACAAAATGCATCAGAAAAAATTATAAAATCGAGAACTATCTTCTTTTGATTTTTGTCAATACCCTTCAGCCCAATTTTTGAGCAACTTGACAATCCACTGACAAGAAGCTACATGAGCACAATGCCAAAATCCTGTGGGAAACCCTGAGTTTGTATTTTTTGATGAGATAAATTTTATGTTTTTATTAGTTTAATTTCATTGTACGAACTTTCTATGGTACAACTTTTGATACTAATGAAGTATTAAGTAATTGCATACATTAATAATTATTCGCTTAAATTAATGACTAATGCCACATAAGTAAAATATCCCAGTTGTTCCAAATAAAAAGTACATGTACTTTAAAAGCTATGCAAATACACACATGTACGTGTACATTACATGTAATTCCTCACTTCATATTCATCAGTGGCTCTATGATGAGGCACATGATGCATACTCTTCAGTACATCTAACATATAATATTGATACAAAGTATTCCATTGTTCTTCAGGCATTATCTGCAATACACTAGCTAATGGATTATTGGACAGTACTTCTATAAGTCGAGAGTGAAGCTCTTGTCTGTGTTCACCTACAGGTACATGTATATAGTGTATGTATGTATTATAGTATGCCAAAACAAATTTAGGGTACCTGAAGAACTTTTAAAGGCTTCCCAAGTTGTTTCAATACATTCTTTTACTAACCAGAAGAATGGAAACTGACAAGAAAACTCATCATCAGAAGCTAAAGCTTGTCCTTTCTTATAGCCAGCATCAATGCCTTTCCCCATCATAAAGTTCTGATAGCTGAACTGAACTAATCCCTCATTAGAAAATATTAGGAGCCATAACTTCTTCACATATTCACTAAAAATGCATAAATTGAAATAAATGTACCACCAGTATTTAAATTATCTTCAATTTTAAACATACAAGTACATGCATATATAGGCAATATTAAATATTACTGACCTTGATTCATAAATGAGGCTCAGGTTAGAATATTGATCAATAAATGAGAGGATTGCTGTAAATATTGGTACAATAACTTCATCAAGTTTTCTTGTTAGAACATTCTGGAAGGTTCCTCCACTTTGCAACTTTTTGCCACTCATTGCTTCATTTAGTACCCACTCCTTGTTCAATAGATGTTCCTCTCCTTCTTCCAGTAACTTCTTAATATGTTTTACCAATCCGCCATAAAATGTATCATCAGCTATTAAAATAAAAAAGTTAATTACATACATGCACATGTAGAACTACTTTTTTCTCACAACTTAGGGGGATAAACAATATTAATATTTTAAAAATAACAATAGCAACACAAAACTGTGCACAGAAATAATACTTTTTATATAAAGCTCTTAATGTACATGTACCCAATGAGCATACCTATAGGGAATTTGGGATTCCGTGGGATAAGTTTTAGTAATATTTGTACCCTCAATACAAATGAGAACTGTCTTTTTGCTCCTGATTCTGCCAAAATTGCTACTGCTGCTTGTATATTATTGTATAGTCTGGAACACTGACTGTGGTCTTTGTTGTTAGTATCTGGAGACATTGTACATGAATGAATTTGCTCCCTTAAATCATCATCCATCTAACAAAATATAATACAATGTACATGTACATGTATAGCAGTACAAACTAACTTCATCTCTTTCATTGTCTACAGGCAATTCCTCTAAATCATATTCCTCAAAACCAGGATCAACATCATACAGCACAGTGTTGACGTCTGACATATCTTGATCACCTTCATCTTCAAAGCGTGATTCCTGATTACCGTCTTCTTCCACTATCATATCCTCTTCTTTATCCGTATCCAATCCATTAGCCTCAGTGGTTGATCCTTCAATAGAAGGTCCCTGATTCTCATGTTCATTGGTTTCCATAGCTTCATGACGACTGGTAAACACTCCACTATAGAATAGAGCACTGATAGGGACACTATGAGCATCATTCAGTGTTAGAGCTGATTCCGATGGAGCCCTAATATCATCAACGTGAGCTGATATCCAAGAACCTCCTTGAAACCCAACAAATGAACTGTTAGTATTAGTCTGACGTGGAAGGTTTATAATAAAGAGAACATGAGTGTGGCCACTGCTGGTTCTTAATCGCTTCTTTTCTCTCTCATCATCAATACGATACCTGGCACAAGCTAATAAGTCACTGTACAAGTGACCAGAATCACACTGAATAATCAACAGGGAGTCTTCTTGATTAGAGAAGGAAGGGCTGCAGAAAAATAGTGTTAAAAATTATAATACTATATACGTGTACGTTAATGTACATATATTTGTCATACGTGTACATGTAGCTTTTATTTCAAAAACTACCATAGCACAAAAATATAGCAGGTTCATGCTACGAGATAAATGGGCATTATATTTATGGTCATTGTTGTTTAGTTACATGCAACTACAATAATCAATTACTAACTTGATTTTGTGACTGAAGTCCATTTCCGTATCAAACTCTTGAAGTAAAAAGATGTTTGAATGATCAATTTGAAGACAATTTGAGAGTTCATCAGCTTCTACACTAGAGAGTAGATGACTATGAGTAGTGACCTAATAAAAATATATATTAAATAGACATAACACCCAATACTGTACCTGTATCAATACACCAAAAGAGGTATTGCTTTGAAGATGATGATGAATAAACTCCACAAGAGAACTATGGTGTTGCTCAAAGTAATAAATCCGATTCAGTTTCTCTCTCTTCTCATTCAAAGGAGTGTACTTGAGTCTAATGAGAGCATCAGGAGGAGACATCATTAAGAGAAGCTTTTTGCTGCGTGCAAGCACAGCCTTTTTCCATACATGACTATCATGATCATCATTAGGCCAACCCCATTCTTCTGTTAGCTGTTCAGTAGCTTGAAATACAACTGAGGCTGGAGTGTCATTCTGATAGCCTACGAAGGCATCTTGTTTAGAGAACCTACAATATGTTTAATGAAAGGTTATGATTCATTATTTAGTACATTACTTTGATTCTATGCTAATATCACTGAATTCTTCTATCCATTTGCACAGGTTAGCAAGGACATCTTTCTGCCAGTCTAATAAAACAGTCTCAGATAATACAAAGTGCTTCTCAAGTCTATTGATAAGTGGAGTAGGAAACTTTTTATAAACTGTAGCCTTCTCTGCAATTAGGATAAGCCTATAAAAAACAAAATATCTTCAATGAAATAAACTTGTATAACTTACTTAAAGTTCTTATGAACACGACACTTGACTCTATGTGTTTGTAGTCCCAGATCAACATATCTTTGGCCTCCAAGGTGAATATAATACTGGTTCAGTAGATCATACAAGCTCTCATACAGGTTCTCAAGGTTAAGGAGGATGACAGTACGACCAGTTTCCATACATATTTTAATCTGATTAATGTTACGACACACTTGAGTGTACTCTCTGTCTTTAGGGAATGAGCTCCCAAACAGTACAAAAGGCTCCATCCTCTGATTAACATCACTAGTTTTTTCTTGTGTCTTGCTAGTATCTTGTCTCTGAACATGTCTTAGTCCAACTTCTTCATTAAGATAATGTCTAATGACATGCAACGCTGCATAATTCTCAGTCAAAAATAACAGGTAACGATTCTCCCTATAAAATTAAAAAAATATTTTTAGCCACCTCAAATTTGATTTAACAATCACATAAATAAAATTTATTGTAGGAAAAAAATGAATGCTGAAAAATCAAACAAAAAATGATTCTAACTACTGTACAGCAGGCAATTTTGGAGGGGACTAAATTTGGTAAATTTGACAGCCATTCGCCAAAATTAAAATCTGCCATTTTGAACCATTATATGCATGCTCAATGGCACGTGGTCACAAATTCACCAAATTAAAAATCAGCCAATCACCAAAGTTTAGCGATTCACCAAATTTAAGAACCTCTAAAATTTCCCGCTATACGGTAATACTCAAGTAATCTTAATCAAAATTTAATCATCATCCCATGCACTGTTTCTGGCATGCAGCCACAATGATGGCTATAAACTCACTTCCTCTTACCCATGCCAAGATGTTTCTTTAGTTTGCAAACTTTTCCTGATCAATCCCAAAGGAGAGCAGTCAGGTGACAGTAGATCACGTAGCAACTAAAGATACAGTTTAACATAATAATGTAATTGAATATAATGCACTATACTTTATCTGTCACAAGACTGAGGTCAGGTTCATGTTCAAGGTTCTTGAGATGAGATTTAAATATTGAATAAGTGTCAATGTCTTCAAGATCAAGTCCACCAAAATTACGCTTTATGGCATGCTGCAACTGAGGACCAGTCAACTGCATCCCACTCTTCTTGCACATCCAGTACAGCATTTTAATTAAACTATAACAAGTTATCAATATTAATGACATGTAAGATGGGAACTTTATAGCAAATTTAAAAGTACTACTACATGTAATTCACTACAATAATCTGTGACACACAACGTACTTAATATTGTTAATTTACCAAAAGAAAGACTAAAATTACAGAAATAGACGTGCATGTAGTAGGGCTGAAACGAATAGTATTTTTCACTATTCGAATAATTGGCATGCTAAACAAACGAATATTTGAATAATTGAACTATTTTTGCTGAATGATTAGAAACTGCCTTTTTGGTGTTAAACTTTTCAAAATGATGCCAAACAGGGCTTCTTAGAGATTGATAACCACTTTCCCTTGCCACAGCATCAGTATTTAGCAAGTTGGTAAGTAAACAGACAAAGAAATAGACTAAGAAAGCAGCCTGTGCAGGTGACGCGCGGTGGGTGTGGTCGTTAACTATTGCAATAACCATTAATATTTTATTAGGCGAATAGTTCGAATAGCAAAAAAACTATTCAAATATTGCTTTAACAAACAAATATTTGAATATCTCACTATTTGTTTCAGCCCTAGCATGTAGTGACGGAAGTATATGACGTATATGTACATTGCACAGGGTTCCCCATAAAGCAGTCAAGTGAGCTAAATGGCATGCTTCATGAGTTGACCATAGTGCGTGGCTTCAGAGAAACTTCAAAAATTGTAGAAAATCCAATTTTCATTGGAATCAGCTCAAAATTTATACACAATTATATACAAATGTGAATATGTATCAATAAGTCTCCCTAACAATTTTAATGAAATATGGCTAATGTCCCTGTACAGGGTTTTTGGTTAAATTTTGGAGCAACTTCAAAAATTTGTAAAAATTCAATTCTAATCAAAAATAGCTCAAAATTTCTGCATAACATACAATATAAGAACATTTGTATGTTACAGAAATTGTAACAAAAATGAAAAATTTTTTCCTTGCCATTTTTGATAAAATTTTGACCAAATTTCAATCTGGCCAAAAACACTACAGAGTTTTTGGCCAGATTTTTGACCAGGTGCTAAGTAAGCTAAACAGTATGCCCACTAGATCAAAATCCTGTGGGAAACCCTGACATTGCATGAATAGCATAGATACTCAATACCTGTAGAAATCTCTAAGTCCAAAGAATGGTCTCTGGCATCGTTTTTGCTCTTCACAGATTTCCTTATAAGCAGATGCTAAAGGCTTGAAACAAACTTTCAATTTGTCTTTCACAGGATCATCTTTATCATTAGAACATATTCCTCTAAATAAAATGAATAATCAATACCAGGTTGTGCTTTAAAAATATCTACTGTGTAGTGTGTACAAGTATATTAATTTATACATAAAAATGATACTACCTTGCAGACATAATCAGCTCTTCTATATCAGGGTCTCCTCTAGTTACCATAACTCCTCTGTTCATCTTAGCAGGATCCAATGCCCAGTTTGATATACCAATAAATGCAACACGTTGCTCACGATCTACAAACTATTCACCAGTAAACAATGTATCAAGTGTTAGGAATAAAGCAGGTTTACCTGTTCAGAGTCATCAGCTCCCTCTGTTCCATCCTCCAGTAGTGGATGAAGAGCCTTTAATGGAAGATTAGGAGAATCCTCAGCTAATCCAACCTCATCCAATACAACAACTGATACATAGTTAGTCACATCTTGCTTCTTCTGGAAACTCTTGGCAGTATTGAATACTTCAATGACACTCTCTGGAGTTGATAACTGACTGCATTGATAGGAGAACATGTGAACCTATAGATAGCAATAGATAGAAAGAAGAGGGGAAGTAAAAAGCAATTGTTAATTAAATAAAAATAATTCATGTTCATAGCATGCAAGCACACATGTACATGTACATGTAACTGTGCTGACTTCTTTAAATTCCCTCATGAGATCACTTTCTGAAGATCGTCCAAGCATTGAATCAGCAACAATGGATTTGGCTAGTGATTTAGAACTGCCTGGTTTACCAACAAGAAACAAAGGTATCCTTAATTCAATACATATTGCCATCATAAACACATTCTCCCTCAGTGCAGCATTTCTTGCAATATTAGGACCAAGTTTCATGTTATCAAGAAGGACATCCTGACACCTATACATGCATAAAATATTACAAATATTATGATGCAAAATTGATGATAATAAATCAAATACAAAAAGTTATAACTACATAAATAGCATGTACTACATTTACTTTATAATACAACTTACCATCTGATCTCATTAAGAAATTGCACTGTCCCATTAACTGCTAGTGGAGGTACAAACTGTTTCACTACATGACGTTCATATCGATCTCTTTTATAAAGTCTGGCATGATAGCACACACTAACTGACAATATTAGTGAACGAGTTATTTCATTAACAGGAACCTCCCCCTATAAAAAGACATCAAAACAAGCATATTGCATAATTATATTTCATGGATTCGATTTCTGTAAAATTTAAAAAAAGTTTAGGCCACAAGGTTTCTTATTCTACAGTATTACCTACATGTACTTGTACATGTGTGTACACTACATTTAGTCTCTTGGTTTGCTTACTTCTTTATTTGCTTTTTGACAAACTCTCCTGTGAAACTGATCCTTCGAACAAAAGTAATCAAACACAATCATTGCCCTCTCAACATCCCTCAAGCTAACAAAGCCACACTCATCCTAAAAACAAAACATTTAAATTAAATTGAAGTTCATTAAAAGCAATTTAACTCATTACATTCATTTTCCTCATGTATGCCTGAGACCATGCCAATACATTAGCTACAGATTGGATGACATTAGCTTCATTCATCACTCCTGGTATCCTCTGGCATCTGTCCTTCACTATTTGTGCAGTATACTCTTTCTCAGTGTCATTACTTAGTTGTCCAAAGTCATATACCAGTGGCCTCATGCTTGGAGGTAAGTCCAATACTCTATAAACTAACTCTCGTAATGGAATCTTACCTAAATAGAGATTAAAATATTATATTATTAGCAAAGTGCACCAAAAGTGAGTTCAATAACTTCAGACAAAATAAAAGTATCAAAATGAAATAATTTTACCAAGTTTTTGTTGCGTGACTTCTACAAAGAATCCTAGACCAGCTGATTTAAGTTTATTTATCATCTCATCAGAGTGCCTATAGTATAATTATTATAACGTAAAATGTTCAGCAAAATGTTCAGCATTAAAACTAAGAATAAATGGCAGCAAGAATGACCAACAGCTATCATACCAAATATTCATAAACAACATGTATTTAAACACAAATTATAGTAATAACACTAACCTTTTATAAGGATTACAAGCAGCAATAAACTTTACATCTCCTTTAATTTGTCTCCCATTAATACGACGATCACACATCACTTCCTTAATCAATCCAATGGCATCACTTGTATTAGCTTCATCAAAGAACAATACAGTATTGATGCCATAAAGGGCTCTATTCTGAACTGCAATACTCTCAGCTTCTTTGACCTTCCTTACAACATCACTCTCAGTGGTACCACCATGAATCTATTAATAAACAAGAAAGAATGTATCATACTGTCATGACTAATGCATGCACATACACACATATAGACATCAATATCAAGCATCTATAAAACTGGTGATCATACTTTCATAATGAGCATGTTGTTCACATGCTGTCCGCCTTGTTTACAGCCTTGGGCAGCAAGGTCACACATAAACCGAATTAGCCTTGTCTTACCACAACCAGTCTCTCCCATTAGAATGACTGGTATATTACACCTGCATGTACAGAGAAAAGAGAGAGACTTGTAACATATGTGTACATATGGTAGCTTGAAGTCAAATGTGCCTTTAGCTAATACAAAAAAACAAATATTGCACATAGCTAAAATCAAATGCAGGATTGAAAAATTTTAGAAAAATCTTGATCACTCGACAAGGCCACAGATCACTCACATGAAAATGGTCAACTTTATCTTTAGCAAACAGACATTAATAAACTTTACAGTACGACTGACAAGATTCGACAATTGACAGATTTTATACATGTACAATAACTTCAATTACCTCAATCTCATATGTATTGCCATTATTTTGATGACATTATCAACTGTCAGTACATAAGTAGGGTCTGGATCACAGCTCCATTCAAGACCCATTACCATTCCAATCTTTGCTATCATGACATCTTTACCCCAGGACTGATAGTTCTCTGATAGGTTAACCATATTAGCTCTAAGGCCAGTGTGCAACTGTGGTGTCATAACTCCTGCCTCTATAACAGTATTCTTCAAAGGATCGTAGATATCACCATTATGAGAGACATTAAAACCAACAAATGTGATGCTCATACCATCTTCATTGAAGAACAAGTAAGGATGATAACTATTTAATATATACAAAATAATGACTTTGTTTTAATATTGCCTACCATTGTTCCCACTGTTTCCTCACATCAATCTGATAGTCTTTCAGTTGCCATTTATCATCTCTCGTTTCCTCATTCTCAGCAACAACTTCTCCTGTCAGAGATGAAGTGGCAAAATCCTAAAAAGTAAAATAACATTTACAACTATTAAAATAAATTGATAATAAGCATAATGAATGCATAACAACAAAGTAACTTAAAAATAAGTCTTACCTTAGACATTCTGATCATAAACTTCACCACAAAAGTCTTAAGTCCTGACATCACATCTCTTACAAAATCTTCGTTAGTGAAGATTGATTTCTCACATGATTGCAACTGAGTATTAAGAAAATCAATAAAATGCTTCAACTCAGACCAAGAAGGATTTTTCACACCACAGTACCTATATGTAAGTAAGATTTACATTAAATACATTACAAATGTACAATACGTAATACATCAACTGAAATTATCAAACATGCACTTACTTCAGAAACACTTTTAGACAGTCAAGATGATTCCCTTCAACTGTTGGTACGTAAGAAAAATTATCCAATACTACAGAATTCATGTGTCTCGTTAAGTACTGATATACACGCTGGAATGGTTCACTACAAAATTCTTTCTTGTCCATCATTTTAACATTGATTACTAAATGGTAAATAATGTATAAAGCTAAAGGGAGTATACATATAAATTTAATCATACTCTTTAGTCCTCTTTCCAAAATGTGCCAAATAATTCTTGGAGATATACATTCAATGGAAGGAAGAATGTCAAACAGTGCTAGGGTTGACTTAACAGTATCATTCTACACAAAAGAGAATACTTAAGTGAAATATTGTATATATATAGCATACAATACCTTAAACACTGTTGCTTCAATAGCATAAAGATGAGATGGATGACATCTCCAAATTCTACCTTGACTGTCAGAAAGAGCTTGAAGAATCAATAATGAAAAAAGGACAGAATCAACTTGACTTAAAACCTAACAGAAGATATACATGTACATGTGTACATGTATGTACAACATCAGATAATATTCAAAAATACACATACGTTAGGAGCTACATCAAGATGAAAGAGAATAGCCTGATTGCTGTCATGCTGTTCAAATGGTTGCTTCAGTGATTGTACTACACTATCAAAGGTGACCTTAGGGCCATGAACTGGTATCACAACATCACTAATATTATTTGAAGGTTTCTTTGCAGACAGCTCCTCCTTCATTCGCTGTATGTACAAGGACTTTCCCATTCCAGCTCTAGAAGACGTCACTACTCTTACATATGAACTATAAAATACAAAAATATATTTTTAATCCTTTATTTAAATGTAATCAAGTACATGTATCACAAACATGTACATTGTACATGTACATGCATATCTATTGCAGTACTTACCTCTTGGGGTCAACAGCAGAGGCTAATAATATATCATCAGAACAACTCTTAGGCCATTTAGTGAAGTGGTTCATTAGGTACTGAGAAAATTTATCTTTAGAAAGAACTTTGGAACAAGTTCGATTATACATTTGAAGTTTTGCAATAATATGAGACTTCTCCTGATCTTCATTGCTACAAACAATTACTAACTTGTAACCTAAAATACATAATAGTACATTAAATGTATGAACATGTACATGAACCATTCAGCAAACTAGTAAAAAATGTCACTTAAAGTTACTATATAAAGGCTGTGATAGTTTGTATTAAAAGTAACAGTAATCATAGTCTTGCCTATGGTGGTCGGGACAACCACCTCAAAAAATGAACCAACCAGTTCATCACTTAGACCAACCATCCAATTAATACTAATAACCATGTATACTAGATTTCAGTGAAGCTTTTTTAAATGTAAAGACACAATAAATACATACATATCAAAGATTTACCAGTTCTTCCCTGAGAGTACTGTGTCAGTGATCTAAGAGCAGTATCACACACTTGATAAGACAGTAACTGTGCATGAACTAAACAAAATATCCTCAAGTGGTTTGGATCTTCCACAGCTCTCCTCCACAACAAAGTTACTTCTTCAGCTGTTGTGTTTTCAGTACAAATAAGAACCTCTTCGTATGTTGGTAAAGGAAGCTCCTCATTCTTCATGTAAAGCATAAGAACGGTCTTTAAAACTTCATCTAATAAGAAAATAAAACTTTTACTTGAGAAATTGAGTGTACATACACTGTATACACAAGTGCAGTAGATGCAGCACAAACCTGGAGGAACTATGAGTAAATTAGGTTCTCCTTGCTTTAAAGTTTCACCAAAATTTCTTTCAGAAACAATTGGAGCTGTGCGTAAAACAGTACTAAAATGGCAAAGTTATCAAATTTGACACATACCTATGCATTTGGTGCTTAAATGATTCAGTAACTGTGCTAACTCCTTCAGCGAGAGGTAAGGCTTAGTTGTTGAAACATTTGATTCAATTTGAAGTTCAGTCACACTATGATATAAAAAATAAATACACAGCCACATAACAAGATAAAATTTAATGCATGCAGAGATGTTTGGATAAAAAATGTGTGTTCATTATGTTATACACATGGTATCAAGAATAGGCACTTCCTTACCCAGTATGACCATCTAATGCTCCAGTATATCTTTCATCAAAATACCAGTAGTCATCCTCCACTTCACCTCTTTGATTTGTCTCTTCCAACTGGTCAATGAATTCCATTGCTTCTTGTGTGCTGCTAGGATTCTGATCCAATGCAGTGTATGACTGCTCCAGTGAGTAACCAGCTAATAATAACTGCTGCACAATGGGATGGTTTTCATTAACAGCAACCCTTCCTTCTATTGGTCTACCATCACTATCACCTACATGTACTTCTTGATTGTCCCATTCTTCTTCTAATGGCCAGTAGCTTTCTTTATTCTCTCCTTCATCAATGAAATCAAACTCATCTTGATGCTGACTGCACCATTTCTCTACCTCTTCCTCGATCTCTGGCTCTGCTGATCGCTCAAAAGCAAGCAAAATGAGTTTATTATGAAATCCATATGACATTATCAAATTATCAAGAATCATCCTCTGCTTGATAGTCAAATCATTCTCTCCTAATTTAGGCTGAGGAGCAGATATAGGGCTCTGCCTGATGGTGGCAATTGGTGTCACTCCATTGTCTTCTTCTATGCTGGATATTTCTTCCATGTGTTGTGGCACAAGATTGCTAGCAGGGATCATCTCCTTATCTTCATCCTGACCATCAGTGTCTCTAATATGAGATATCACTTGTTCCTGCGTTATGTCTCTTGACAGACACTGTAATAAGCTTAACACATCAGGTCTGAGGTCACTGTTATAGTCAGGATTAACGTAAAGAGAGAGTTCTTTTCTTAGGAGTAGAAGCTGTTGTGTTGTGTAATAGTTTAAGCTATAAAAGTGTTCACGAGCCTTGCCTACTTTCTTCTTCCATTCATCAAGATCATTGATCATTCCTTTAAGGACGTTCATTAGTTTGTCAACAAGGTCTGTCTCATTACATGGAAGCTTTAAGACCCATCTCAAGTATTTGCTGTGTCCATACTGTTGTAACTGAATTAATACCTCAGCTATATGACAAACACTGTTAAATACCTACACACATAAATACAAATAAAATGTGTGTAATAGGCAGAGTTTAGCTTACATGTATATGTACATGTACATGTACTTATCAACAGCATCATTGATATACATGTACATGTATATTAGTACAAATTACAATATTAACTGTTATTGCTCAAGTTTTAAATGCCATATTGCTCAAAAAATTACAAAAAAGAACGACTAACTTTGAGAAAATGATCCACATCATTTTTTTCCTCAGATTTCCTTCCTGTTATCAGTACAAGTTTACTCTCCAAATCCCTCAGTTCATCCATAGTGTACTTGTATCTTGCTAGTGACTTGTGCTCTTGCTTTAGATCCATCTTGATCACTTCTGATGCTTTAGAGTAAGTCGCTTCAGATGATGAACCAACAGTATAATAACCATATCTCTTTATATTGTACATTTGACCAAATGATGACTTCTCAACAGAGCCTTGTGTTTCCTTCACTGACTTGTACCACTCAATCTGTTTGCTGCATTCAATCTACATGTATAACAATTAATAACATCTACATGTACATACACGGTAAACAGGAAGTATGTTGTGCTTAATAAAACCATTCCCTAGCTATAATATTTTACTCAGTAGTTGCAAATTTTGGTATTAAAAAGATTGTTAATACTTTATTATTTCAGAATTCTTGCTGATTCTTACTTAAAATTATTGGTAAGCTACTTTTTGCATAAATTACTTATTTAAAATTACTTACAAGCTTTTCAGGCAGAGAAGGATCATGTGACAAAGAGTCCCACAATGACTTACAGCGTCCCACCAGTTCCATACAACCAGTCGTTAATGGCAACCGATATATAAGCTTTGCAAATCCACTGCCAACTGTACGAAGATTAGAGAGTTTATCACGAGTTAGATCATCCTCTCCACCAGCAGCAGTAGCAAGAGCAATAGTAACAAAATGTTGCAGATCATGCACATCTACACATCAAAAATGAAGTTATGAGTTGAGTGGGCATAAGTAACAGACAGTGCTTAAATAGATGTGTGGCCTATCTCATTGGACAATGGACACTTGTAGTTTATCTGTATATACACTAGGCCTATTAGCAAGTTTAAATCAGGCACAATGCATTTTGGACACATTCATAATAAAGCTTTATCATAGAGCTACTGTTGGCCTACTGGAAGCCATTGAGAGCTACTTTCAATAAGAATTAAAACTATCAAAAGCAGATCATTAGTAACAGATCATATACAATGAACAGTCTACATGTATAGACCATGACAACCAGTACATAACCATATTACATTTACATGTACATGTACATGTAACAAAGGAATCATTAACTTGCCAGTGGTTTCTACTTTGATCCATTGCACTAGCTTTTGACACTCAGTGAATGCCCTCAAACACTCCAACTTCCTTAGATCAGAACTGATGCCATGCAAGAACTCTCCGGTCTTAGCTAAATTATCATCAATGTACTGAAGAGTTTGACCATGTATTGATGCTTTGAACTACATACATATATACATGTAAAAGAAAATGAGAAAGGGATTAACTTCATAATTGGCTTACATTATCAGCTAATTCTTCCACAACTTTAAAGTCCCCTTTTAAAGAAAGGACTGTCCTTAACTTAAGAAATATCTTAGCAGCAGCAGCTTGCTTAAGAAGTGAAAAGTATTCCAATATTCTTTGAATGCAATTTTCAATCCAAGATGAGTTACTGGTCAGTCCCTTACATTTACTGATTCCTTCTTCCAATGCCTTAAACTCTGTTTCTAATCTATTCCTGTTAGCTGAATGATCAGTAAGGAGTTGATCAACTAAAACTAGTGGTATAGATCTATCCTTCAGGCTATCAAGATACTGAGAGGTTTTATCAAATACAACCTTCCAAATATTATCAGTAACATCCTGAAATTTTAGTGCTCCTTTTTCTTTAAGTTCAGCTACTCGAGACTGCCAGAACTTTCCAAATGTTTTGGTCGGATGACTTTTCACTAAAAGTGTAAAGTGTGGCAGGATATGAAAGAGTGAAGCAGCACATTGAAAGTGATTATAAACTATTGTATTGCCTTCCAAATGACAAAGTGAGGATATTGGTGACATTGATACATCCATAGTCAAGTCTTTATCAAGAATCGATAGATCTACAAAAATACACATATACATGACTACATGTACAGGCAAACATACAATGTACATGTATAAACACGTACATGTACATGCATTGTGAATGCTTGGCAATGCAAAATTGAAACAAAAGAAAAAATATTACACTAGCAAAATTAAATAAAAACTATTAAACAGCACCATACACATGTGTAAATGTACTTTACAGCACCATACATGTGTGTATTTTACAAACTGACCTGGGATTACAAGTTCAGTGGCACTGAGTTGCTGATAAACTGTAGATAATTGTGCCTTCAACTCCTTAAAACATTCCCACTGATGCAAATGTCCATTTAACTTAACAATGACATCATCAACTGAAAAATTAGAAAGAGGCTTGACTGCATCACATAACTTCATTAATTCAGGTTTTTTTCTCTGGAGCTTGCAGAGGACATTAACAGCCACAGTTCCATCAATAACACTCAAGCAAACACTAGAAAATATTTCCACTGCCACATTACATATCTCTAGATCTCTGCCTGACAGTCCACGATCATTTGCTAGTAAAGCACGTTGCTGTTTCACTAATAATAATAATAACAATAATAATAATAATAATAAATTAACGGTCTTTAATTTCATTTAGTGACTCACCAAATATCTTGAAAAAGAAGGGCCAGGCTTCCCAACCTAAAACATCATCAATAGAAAAATCCTTTTTAGAATAGCGTCTTGTCAAGGTGTTGTCAAAGAGATGTTCAGCATTCTCTGACATCATTAGCTTCCTCAAACACTCTGAAGAATGTTCATCTTCCTAAAGGAGTACATGTACATCTTCACTAAATGCATTATCACCAGTATGTGATAATAAAGAAACACTAATTAATTTCAAACACTATGATTTGTTATGCATTACTGTTAAAAAGTGGACCAGATGGTAAATATACAACACCAAAATTTCCCACAAAGTATGCTAAGTGAACGAGTTAAACAGCTGACAAACACTACATGTACATGTACAATAGTAACATGGCTTTTAAAGCAACTTTAAAAATTAATAAAAAATCGAATTTTGATCAAAATCAGCTTCAATTTCTATGCAACATAAGTACATGTACAGTATGTGTATTAGAAAGATGCTAAAAGGAGAATTTTCTTCTAGTCATTTTTGACAAAATTTGATATGACCAAAAATTGGGCCTACAACCAAAGGCTATAGCTTTTAGACATCGGCCCAATTTTCTAGCAACTTTAAAAATTAAAAAATTGATTGAAATCAGCTCAAAGTTGATACTCAACGTAAGAACATGTATATGTATCAGAACAAATTATAAAAATGGAGACTTTTCTCCTATTTGCCTTTGGTCATTGGTCCAATTTTTGAGCAACTTCAAAAATTTCTAAAAATACAATTTTGAACGAATCAGCTCAAATTTTCTACACAACATATTAACATGTACATGCATACATGTATGTATCAGAAAAATAAAAATGGGGTATTCTCTCCTTGCGATTTTTGTCAAAATACCCTGTACTACAGAGTAAGTCTTTGGCTCAGTTTTTACAAGAGCCCTATCACTATGCCAAAATTCCGTAGAAAACCACGTTTAAGTATAAGTACATGTACATGCACGTGACTAAGATGAATCAAGCAGTCCATACAAAATACATGTATGTACAATTGTACATATACTACATGTACTGTAAATAAAGGTGCATGTATCATTACTAACTGAGTAAATTAGCTCATCCATACTAGAGGTGACATTTTCCAGTACCAAGCTCAATATTGTATCACAAACTTTCTTAGTCTCAGCCAGATGAAGGACATCTGGTTTACATAAAAGAGGAACCTGTTAAAAAGGAAGTGATAAAATCATTATTAATAATAAAATTTTTTTTACTTTAGATAATCTTGACCTCATGATTGATATTATGACAGGTTCCCATTTTTCTTTTATTTTACAAGGACAAGGAACAGAAAAGATATGGTTCCATACCTGGCAAAGAACAAAATTATTTGTACACAAGCAAATTTATATTTATTAGGTGCATGTGCAAACAACAGACAATTTTTAACATTTCAATCATTTATAATTAATTTGACTGTATATTCATGTTGTGTATACCATTCTTGCCACATAACAATGGAAACATATGCATGTATTTTCTAATAATGAAGTTGCAAAACATTTATACAGTATTCAACTTACATCAAGTTCTTCCTTTGGTTTTTTAAGACTACTGTTGCCCATAAAAGAGGTATTAATTTCATTTCCAAACATACTACCACCAATAGTTCCCTTGATCCAGGCTTTAATAATCTCATTTTGTTTCTCAAATGTTTTAGATAATAAGCTTGATGCATCATCTGATGATGTATCCATGTGGTTTGATAGTGTTTTCAGAACAAGAGACAGCAGTGAAGTAAATACTGAGACATGAGGCTCTGTGAGTTTATTTAACTTTTGTCTCAAGCTCAGAACTTCAGTAACATAAACAGCAGCATCCAACAATTGCTTTGTCTCTTCCTCTGGTCTATAATAATAATATACAAGTATAAACAAATTGGAACACAGTATGGGATACTTTTAAGCTAGGTTTACAATTACATTCGACAAAACGATCAAAATTATGTCGGTGTTGACGTAAGAATGCTTTGAAGTTGATGCAAGATTGGCCAAAATTTAATCTTGCGTTCAATTGCGTTGTATTTCATATGCAATTGTAAACCAGGCTTTAGTTAATATACTGCATGTATGTATCTTTAAATACATGCAATACAGTACATTCTCACCTCTTGTCATCAGGTTCATCAATTCTAGAATGAATTGTAGTTAAACAAGATTGCAAATCTTTAAGCTGCACAAAAATTAGAAAAAAATTAAAAATTGTAAATCTGTTAATAATTGAAGTAGACACAAACTAAATGCAAAAGTGGACAAAATGTGAAAAGTTAAGTCTTATAATAACAATTATTCCATTTAACACACATACTATGTAACTAACTACAAATAATCCTCACATCCGTTCCTTTTGGTGAATCACACAGATGTCCTAGTCTTGCTATACAATAGAACAGTGGTAGAGTGTCAAACATTGACTTGTACAAAGGGACAGGGATCATGAATATGAATGAAGGGAGAAGGAGAGGGTCAATAATGAAAAGTGCTTCCAGATCAACATAGAATTTCTTAAAATTTCTAAAATAAAATATGGTCAATTATGAGTTCATTATGATAATAATAACGTACGTATTTGATTGTTTGACAATAGTGGTAATATCCTTGAATAAACTGTTCTGAGATCCTGCAGATTGAGCAGGCCATGTTATAAGCCTTGGGTTCTTTTGAGGGCTTCCAAAAGGTATACAGTGTCCATCAATAAAATGGTAAAGTGCAACAAGACTGAAGAGTAAATCCAAATGATCATGATGTGATTTAAAAGCAGGAATGCAATGCTTCAATCCTCTAAGAAACTTTAACCTACATGTACATGTGTATGTAACAATTATTACAAAAGTCATTGCTATTATTACTAACTTCAACTCTTCATTTTGCGAAAAATACTCTAGAAATGCTTCTAGTCCTTTACATTCCTTTAGCTCCAAATCAGGCACAATTTTGAAATACTGCAATAAAGCAATGACGACATCATTTGACAAATTAAAGAGCATCAAATCATCTAAGGAGACTACAACAATCATGGCCACTGTCATTTGTCTGCTTAAACTACTAGTGCCTTCTTCAGAACCAACAGGAGCCATACTTTTCATAAAGTCAATAAGCAAATCTCCCAAACCCTAATAATTCATCATAAAAGAGACAATTTTCAATATTAAGACTTACAACAGTTAAATTTAAACATTGCGGAAACCTAGTTCCAGTATAAATACGTTGAAAGGAAAGGCAGTTATAAACGCTTGCTATATCATGAGCAATAACCAGTGGATTACTAATAGAACCTGACTTGAGTCTATCAAGATGATCAGATAAGTAAAGTTTAAAACACACCACTCCAATCTCATCCAATGATGGCAACCTAACACCTGTATCAGCACCACTAGCTTCAGACTTGCCAGACAAAAAAATTGTAGAAATCGAGTTGATGATAGTTGTAAAGAACCCTTTCTTTTCTTGTGATGACTCAGTAAGTGATGGAGGATATATTAGAGTATCATACTGATGGTTAGGTTTATCTACAGTATAAAATCAAAAATTAAAATTAATGTCACTACAACATGTGGGGTCAAAGAGGTTACAAAACATTATTACACAATGATTAGTTGTTAGCATTCTAAGACACTGCAATGATCTTCAGAATATCAAAAAAGTTAAAAATTTGACAAACAAAAATGCTTCTAGCCACGGACAAGTTACAGGTGCCTGAAAATCAGCAAAGTTACTGTACAGCGGAAAATTTTCGTGGCCCAAAAATTTCGCAGATCCATTCAAAAATCAATTTCGTGACTTTAATTTTCATGGTTTTCTACTTTTCGACCATTTTGAACCGTATTGAATCAATTTTCACAGATTTTATTTTCGTGAATTTTGAAAAAATGCAAAATCCACAAAAATTTTGGGCCACAAAAATTTTTCGCTGTACGGTAGACAAAAAATTCAAATGAGTAATTTTATTAATAATCCAATTGTTACACCATTCAACATCAAGTACATGTAATGTATAGTCATCAATGAACTTACTTCGTTCACGAGTAGTCAGATACCTATTAGCAATAGCCCCTGGTATATTATATATATATTCATATTGAGCATCTTTAGAACCATGCAAAGTCTTGGGAGTGTAGACACAATATTTGTATGGTACACCACCACTCGATAGAACAAGAGACTTCATTTTGACTTCAAGTCTAAATTTAACTATTTCATCTGTAGAACTGGAATTAAAAAAAGAACAAAAAGGTAGTAAAAGTCAACACACAATAGTCAACTAAACTAAATAAAAACAATTTAGCTAAAGCATGCAATTACAAAGATAAATATACATGTACATGTACCGTAAATGTTTAAATAAAGGCCGGGCTTGAATAAACACCTGGTACTAAGAATTTCCAAGTATAGATACGCATATTTTACTCAATATAAGTACCACAATCTTTAGAGTTTCCCAAATGGCCTAACTGGTTAAACTGAGTGCATTGAATTTGGAGTTCTGAGTTCAAATCTCAGTTTTTATTTTTCTTTTCTTATTTCATGCAATTTTTTTGTCCTGGAAAGAAATAAACGCCCGGGCTTTTATTTGAACATTTACAGTACATGTCTGTTAAATTAGGAGAGGCATTAAAATTACGGTAATTGGCAGATTTTAATTGGAGAATTTGCGATTTGATTTAAAATTGCATGTTTCATGTTGGTAAATGGTTATAAAATGCCACATTTGCCAAAATTTCCCCCTATACAAAAGATCATTGTATAAGGCTGGACTTAAATTGTTTTAATATTATATTGCAGGCATACATAAACAATGTTCAAGTTACATGCACATTTTGAACCAGATCTGGCGTATTGCATTTCTTCTAACTAAGAATCCTCTCTATACCTTCTAAAAATGGACATTGCACGAGTGTACATTATTTCTATTTTATTGAGGCTCAGAACTAAGTCAAGCAGATATGAATGATTGTCAGTTTGCGTCATTTGACTTTAGTTGTCATTTCAATGTCTTAATTTCTAATTTTCGAGTACATGTGTATATAACATTAAAAAAATTCAACCAACATATCACATTGTGGGTAAAAAGTAAAAACACATGATACTGCACGTACATTCTTTTGCAAAAACATGAGTACATGTACATGTACATGTATCAGCATACCTGGATATTTTCTGCATAGGTCCAACATCACATTGCCATTCACCAAGGTGAGGGCTTCCAAACCTTAAGTAGACTGAAGATGAAGCATCAAATTCCCATAAAGCAGTTGGTAGAAGTGCGTGAAATATAATGGTTGTCATTTCATGATCCTTGCCTTTTAGACCTTGTGGAGGATCTTTCCAAGGAGATGGTCTGTAACAAATAATAACACAATAATCAATAATACTGTATAGCTTTTCGTCAGTCAAAAATTTTGTCAACTTGTTAAAATTATAGTTTTCTTCATTAAAGTTAATGTCATTCTATTATAATCCCACATACATGTACAACCTACGTGGAGCAAAATTTTCGTCATTAAAAATTTTCTCAACAAATGCTCAGATGAATTTGACAAATTTTTTGACAGACAAAATTTTGAGCGACATGTACAGCACATGAATATTGTAGTAGTAATTACTTATTGATTTTCTTTCCTTTCTGCTTCCTCTTTTTTGCTTTCCTGCTAGATTCATCAACTCCATATGGTACTAAACTCTAAAATAATGACAATCATAAACAAATTATTGCAACCAACAAGAGCCTCACCTTTTGCTTAGGATCACTTGCTCCTATGTCACTATCAGCCTCACTGCCCTCAGATTCACTTTCATTATCATCACCTAAATGTTCACGTACTTCTGCACCAGTCATCCGTCTAAATAATATTAAGAACATGCAAATGTAACAGATGTATAGTACTAAAAACCTATATACATGTATATGTGTAATAGCCACATAGTGATTAATGTACACAAAGTATGCTATTTTATAGTGCATCAACTACATGTAATTTACTCAGTAAACTAACACAAGTACATGCACAAGTAGTACTTGTATCATTATACACACTAGCACCCATAAATGTACATTGTACATTAAATCAGTATACATGTACCGTAAATCCTTAAATAGAAGCCACATTTGAATAAATGCCGGGGTAGCAATACAATTTAAATACGCAACACTCACCCAGGAGTGACTCAGTAGTCTAGTGGATAATGCCCGAAGTTCCAGAAGTCAAAAGCATGAGCTCACAGGTTCAAACCCCACTCTGGGCCTAAGTTTTTTTAATTTTTTATATAATTTTTCGAGGTTCAAATACCATTTTAGGAAATAGACGCCCGGGCTTTTATTTAAGGAAATATGGTATATGTATATGTATACATGCTAAATTTAATACATAATACAAACTATAATATAGCTACAAGCTTTTTAAGAAAATTATATTTTTGTAATTTTGAGGGGAGCAAGTTTTAATGCATATGCAGTTATGCACATATTAAAGGTGAGGTCTCTATTATATCAATTGTATGTGTGAGCAGTTTACTCATAGGATTAAAAAATGTGAAATTAAAATATCCCACAAAATTGGTAACCTCCAAACCTTATACATGTACATACATGTATGTACATAGATATCACACATGAATACACACAAGCATGTCATACCCTTATTAGCCCTTGCACAAGTACATGTACATGTAATATGTAGATATGACACGAATGGATATGCATTGTTGACATCAACTTAGCTCTGTTTCATGCATTATATGTACATGTAAATACAAATACAGATGTGTAAAAGTACCTCTCGTGTTTCTTCAAAGCAGATCTGGTAACAGTAGTGTGCTCTAAGTGGGGAAAAATGCTGTCGTCCTCCGACAGCTTTCGTTTTCTCTGAGTTTGAGACATAAATCCTGGATGGATATTCGACTGATGTGCCTCTGGACCAAATAGTTGATCATCGGGTAGATTGATCACATTGCCTGGACCACTTGATAATTGATCACCAAAATGTTCAAATGCCTCATCCTCAGAGCCAACAGTTTTTTTCTTTTTTTCTAACGGAGGAGAATCCCTTTCAACCATCATACGCTTGGCACTAGTTCTCCCTTCATTGAGATTGGTACAAGGAACTGTATATAATTCAGTAGCACTAGATGAAATTTCATGTATATCTGGATTCTCTGGTTGAATATGAGACACTTGATGTATTCTAGCTCTGGCATCATCGTGCTCTGTGAATTCCTCTTGTTCAGACATTACCCTAAGGAACCATTATTAACTATTCAGTACAAATAAGAGGATTTATATTAGTACAGCAAAAGAAATATGCATTATATTGGCTGCTTATTTGTGATCATTTAAATTCATAATGTTAACGATTGGTACTTCTAATTTGGCAGCTAATCATAGGTGCCACAGAAACTTTATTGGTATCAAATAGATAATGTGTGGTAAACAGTATAACTAATATAGGGCCCAATTAATTAGTTAAAAGGGTGTCTAAGTGTTACAATAGCAGCTACATGTATAAGAGCGTTTGTTAAAATTTACAATACTTGTTTGCCAGAGAGCTTAAAATGTAATAAAAATATGTCACAAAAGTCTCTAAAGACAAACTCCATTGCTTTGTAACAAACTCGGAAGTCATGTATAAAGATAAATACCATATAGTCAAAGCTGGGTTCCAAATACATGTATTTGGCATTGCGTTGCAACTGGAAGTACTGTATAATAATGCAATGATAAATGCAAGAATAGAGCAGAGTTTTTTATTGTGTTTACCCATTGTGTTATACAGCACCTTTGGTCGCTATGCAATTAAGCCATCAGTGGATTAAATTTTTTGGTAAATTGGGCAATAAACATGTCAGTTCTATTGGTCAAATATTTTTTTCATTTCACGAGGTAATCTGCACATGATCAAAATTTAATCCCCAAACTTTTAATAAACTTTTTAACTTCACAAAACTCTAGCTTTGCGTTTTCAAATTTTTGCACTAGCAAACTTTGTTCTCACTAAAATACTTACACCACCATGTTCCTCTCTGTATATATATCCCATCAACTCTATTTATGGTATGTCAACCCCCTTGAGCAAAACAACAACTACACTACACATAATGGCTGGACAACACTATAAATAACTAGATCATTCATATGTGAAATAGGTGTAGGCTTCCAGAGACATAAAACTTACGCTTTTACCTCTAAATATCAGCCCGTTCTAACTTCTAAGTTATTTCTCTACAGAGTTTCGACCATCACACCCACGTGGTAAATTTAAAATTCAAGAGTCAGCAATGATTACATCATCATTACATCATTTCTTTGCACATTGCAGGTTTCCATATCAATTTTGAATAATAAGCAAATTCAAACAAAAAAAATTATAAAATGTAAATACAATCTTCACAGGGATCAACAATGTATAAAAACCCATTACTTTTATTAACAATAATTCTGCTAGTACAACCATAATCAGGACATCCTTTAGACCACTCAAATTCTGCCAGAAATTTCATTGTGCCTTTATGACAATTAATCAGTGCCAAATTATGATTATGTGTCACCCCAAGCACAATAGTAAAATCAAAGAAACTCGGAATTGGTTGTTTTTGCTGCAAGACATAAAGAATATCCTGACCATCAAATGATAAGAAATAAGGCATATTAAGGGATAAAGAGGCAATGTGCTCGTAATCAGGATTAAATTTTTGTACTCTTCCTAACATAGGGTCTGACACATACAAAAACCCTTCAGAGTCAATTGCAATATCAAAAGGAGTGCTAAACTCTCCAAGATCTTTACCTCTGCTTCCAAAAGTAGTACAATAAGTAAGATCTTCATGAAGTACATGCACACGCGAGTTACCTCTGTCAGTAATGAACACTTTGCCATCTTTGGGATGAACAGCAACGGAGTATGGAAGATCAAATTGAAGTGGACCACTGCCATATGATCCAATGATTTGGCACTGACCGTTCTCAGAAAATTGCATAAGACAATTCTTTTTACTATCAACAGCAAGAATATCACCATTTCTCATAATAGCTATACCAGAATAAATCCCAGGAAGTTGCCCCTCACCATAAATCTTTATTACTTCATTAGCCTCATTCAACTGGACAATATTACACGGCTTTCGTTCAGCTACAATAAGTGTGCCATCTTCCTTCAAACAGACACCACAAGGAATATGGAACTTGCCAATAGACTTTACTTGACGACTCATAATACCCAATTGACATGATGTTACTACACGAGTAATGAATGGGCTACCAGGAACATGAACATTGCCAATTAAACATTTCACAGTATATGGTCCAGCGACAGTAGGAGTCCAAGAAACTTTGTAATGATTTTCTTCTTTGTCTAATGAAGCAATAAAATCTATAGTAGGTTCGATGGAGGAGCTGATATTAATGGTATAATTGGTAGGAAGGCTGACGTATTGGCCATCAATGCCTTTAACATGAAGGAAGAATGAAGTAGGCTCGCCTACCTTGCCTACAAACCTCCTGTAGCCTGAGATATAGCAATCATCAAAAACCACTTGACACGTATTGCCAATGTTCGTACATTTATTGCCAGATAAATTGAAGAAGATGGCACTCTCCTTTCTTTCATAAGCTGAATTATCAATATGCATAATGAGTGCATTCATGTGAAGTAATAGTTGTCTCCTTACAAATAAAATTTGCTCTGCTTTTTCACTTTTTAATGTATTTTCCACGTATTCACAAGAGCTTTGAAATTGTGCCAACATTGTATTCAAGGTGTCTCTTTTTTCTTCTTGCTTGCCGAGGCGTTGTTCAACATGTGCATCAACTTCACTTGAAAGGCGATTCTTCTCTCTCATTACATCATCACTTAACTCATCAAACTGACCAATTTCTTTTTTAACTTCCAATGCTTGCAATTTAACTCGTTCTACTAATAAATCAGACTGAACGATGGCATCCTTTATCACTTCGATATGTTCCTTTACCAAATCAAATTTAGCCTCAACTTCATTCCTCACCTGCTCATAGAACAAATCAGCAGTATCACAGTGGTGCTCTTTATGGCCCCTCACAGCACAAACACAACAAATGACCTCATCCTCAGTCTTACAATAGAAATCTCTAGCTCTGTTGTGAAGAGGACATAACGGGACCTCACCTTTCTCTGCCACTGGAGTATTGAGGGCATTATAAAGATCCAGGAGTGTGTTAATGTGAAAGGCTTTAGGAAGAGCAGCTACTCCCTCTGGGGGTAAGGAAACAGTTGTCCTACAGGTTGGACACTTAAGAGTGGTAGTCCCGTTGTCATCTCTAGTTGTAGGAAGCTTGCTTATGCAGGTTTGGCAGAAGCTGTGAAGACATGAAAGCCCTTTTGCCTCTTGATATTTTTCTAGACACACGGGACACTTCACTTGTTCCTCTAATGCCTCCATTGTCGGTCCAGCCCCTTTACGCATTAGAGCGTTAAACAAAAAACAATAATGTAGATATACATGTAGAAACTAAAAACATAGATATAGAAACTATTATTGTTATTATTGCTGCTGATACAAAAAATTAGTTAAAATTTTTGTCAATATTTTGTATGACAATTTTCATTGTTGGCCTCTTAGTTGGTTCTTCCTCTATGCACTTAATTATGAGATCATACATTAATGTTGATACAGAACTTTTCACTTGCTCGACTAAGTCATTGAAACTCTCAGAGCACGGAAATTGGCAATTAATTACTTCACAAAGCAGGACACCATAACTGAAGACATCCATTTTTGAAGTCAACAGTTTCTTTTGAATGTTAATGATACTCTGCAATGATTCTGGTGCACTGTACACATATGCTCCAGCAGCTTTTGTAAATGCTGACCGTGCTATTTTTGCAGACCCAAAATCAGATATTTTTGTCTTCCATTTCCCAGGTCCTTTAGATTCGAGGAGTACATTAGCACTGCTGACATCACGATGAATAATAGGATCAGGTAGACAGTGTAAGTAGTTCAAGCCTACAGCTACGTCACGCATTATGGAGAAAATTATTTGCCTGCATTGTGGGTCAGGAGTCAATTCCTTAGTCTCATAAGCTTTACGTAATGAGACATCCATAATCTCGGTGATTATCATAGGATTGCCTGAAGGGTGATCAAATATGGCTCCTATAAACTGAAGCAGGTTAGGATGACGTAATTGTGCCATGGTATTGATTTCACGATGAATGAGCTCTAAGTTAATGTCACTCACAATAACATCATGTAATTTTTTAACGGCAACCCTTTGCTCACAAAATATTCCTATTACAACTTCACCCCAGCCTCCTTTCCCCAATAATTCATCTGTTATTGCAACATCTTTGTGACTAAATTTCCAACTTTCATTGACTGCTGCTATATTTTCCCTAAGCACTTTAACTTCATCTTGCTTCATTGACAATGCATTTTCCTTCTCTATTAAAGTTTCTTTTAATTGCAAACAAGCAGATTGTACATCGTCTTTCTCACATTCAAGATCCTTGTATTGCTGCTCTAATAGAAGGATTTCATCTTTTTTATCACAAAGATCAGAATTTAGAGCATCATTAGTCAATAAAATTCGATCATGGTCAGCCTTTAACTCTTCAAACTCACGTAAAAGACTATCATAACATTGCTGCACTAAATTCATCTCATTAATTTTCTGGTCATATGTGGCTTTTAATAAAAGAAATGCTTCATCTTTTTCTTGTGACAATTTGGCAAATTCATCTTCAGCAGATGTAAGAGCATTTGCCAGTCGGCTGGCCTCATTTTGTTGAACTTCAAGTTTATCTAATAGTTGTAAATGACTTTGAGAGAGATCACTGAAGCTTGAATTAAGCCAATCATTATCATTTTGTATTCTCTGAAGTGTAGCTATTGTCTCAGACAGTGAATAATGTCTCTCTTTACCTTTTTCTTCCAACAGTTTTTGTATACTTTCCTTATTGAGCATAGTATTGGTATGGCTATAGCAGCTATTGTTTGATGCCGAATACACCAAAACATGAGAATCTTTCAAAAAGCATTGGGCATGAGGTGGCATACTATTAGTTGAAAACGTTTCAGTATTATAAATCCAGTCATCAAGGTCTTGAGAAACATCAGTAACTTCAGGAAGGTAGAACAAGTGATCTGTATAAAAACAAAACAGAAATATGCATGCAATGTTGAAACTTTAAAACTTGTGCAATATATTTCAAGCTTCAAATTTAATGCTATCATTACTGCATGTTTGCTCTTACATCACAACTGAGTCTGACATTAGTATGCTAATATTTGATGGCTTACAATAATTTTTACAACATGCAACAACTGCTGTTACAGCTATAATAGAAAAAGCTATGAATATAGCTTTCATCATAATTGCTTCACTTGAGCCCAATTAACATACACGTACAATGATACAAAAGTGTTTCTTTAAGTTAACAAAATTACATTTTACAATTTTCTAACTACACAGTCACATTTTTAGTATTTAAAAATGCTTTGTAAATTATTAAAATATATATGAGACTCACAAAATTATTTGTCACAAAACAGCCAAACTGTAAGTATACACTACAAATTATTATTTTAGTGTAAGATGAAATTTACTAGAAGAATGCAAAACATTAAGGGCCATTACAAAACATTAAACATTAAACATTCCAAAACATTAAAACAAAACATTAAACATTACAAAACGTGTGGCCCTAGCCACACAATCATCATAAAGATTAGGTTATAATAGTTAGACGAATGGTCTGTTTGTACATGCAGACGCACTTAATCATTTAAGGGTCTTGCCCAAAGTAAGGTATTATAATTGTTGTAATAGTTGGCACATTACAAAATATTTGATAAAGTATACAAATGCAAAGCAGATTTAATTCTCATAGCATGCAATTGAGGTTTTTTTTCAAAAAATTTGGCATAGTGTTCTTGTCAGTGAATTTTTTATAAATTTTTAAAGTTGTTTGAAGTTGCTTCAAAGTTTAAAAAATAAAAGGTATTTTGTCAAAAAGAATTTTTAATTTTTATAATTTTTCAGATGCACATATACATTTCTTAATGTTGCTTAGCCTATTACAATAAAAATTGAATTTTTAATGAATTTCTGAAGTTGCTCAAAAATTGGGCCAAAGTGACTACTATATAGTATAGGGCTATTGGCCAAATTGCATCAAAAATGTCTCCATAATAATTCTTTATTTTTATAACTTTTCTGACACAAATTAATGTTCTTATGTTGTGTAGAAGTTTAAACTGATTTGATCAAAATTTAATTTTTTTACAATTCTTAAAAGTTGCTCCAAAATCTGGCCAAATTAGTCCCAACGAGATTTTTGGCTAAATTTCATGAAAAATGACAATTTTCCAATTTTTCTGATACATATACATGTACTTACTAGAAGTTCTGAGTTGATTTTGACCAAAATTGGATTTTTTAACGAACTTTAAAAGTTGCTCCAAAAGCCGTATGTGCATGGTGTCATGAAGTATGCTGTTTAGCTTATACTTAGTAGTAAAACCTGTTTGAAATGCTCATTAAAATCACAATTCCTTATCTCTACTCACATAGTAACTTGTTACTATAAGCCAATAAAAATAACTAACCATTAGTTGTAGTACTCATACTGTTATGATAGAGCCAGACTCTCTCTGATCTAGAATAACAGACATATTGTCCATTGACTTTTTCCCAGCACACCACAGAGACAAGTTCCAAATGAGTGTTGGATATTGAACTAGAGCAGCCTAAGCACATACATGTATGAACTATGACAGCATAAGTTACACATGTGGCTTACCATGCTCAACAAGACCTCTAATATCAATGCTTAATGAAGGAATAATCATTCTTTTTTTAGAATTTTCTATGCTTTGAGGTATCACTAAAATTAGTGTTGATGGCATCTGAAAATTATCATTATCAATAGTACTAAATTTTTTTGCACACTTACATTTATAAGCATTAGCTTCTGATCAGTAAAATATTTCTTTACAAGGCTTTCAGTGCTACATGGATCAGCGATTTCAGGACCTTTGATATCAAATTCAATAAAATATACCTCTTCTAATTTGTCAGAAGCTTTCCTATAAATCATAAAAATTAATCATTATCATTGTGAGACTGAATTACCTCATGCTAAGAAATGGTTTAATACAAAGTATTTTATCCAACAATAATCTTAATAAATTCACAGAGTCATCAAATGAAATAGTTATGTAATTTTCTGCACAAATTTTCTTTAGATGATCTTTAAAATCAACTATAGACTCTAGCCTAGTTACCCCATGCCTATAAAACATACACAAAAAGAATAAAGTTGTGTAATAGTACTTAAAGACACTCTCGTACCTTCTCAGTGGATTAATTATTCCTTTCAACAACAGTTCAATAGTGTCTTTGCTCATGACATCACTTAATTCTTCAAACAGAAACTTATCAAATGAATCATTAAGAGCAAATAAACCAAAAATCATTGAATCCAACAATGATGAACCAATATGTCCCTGAATGCCACTATTACTCTGTTCTGTGAATTTATCCATCAAATCTTGAACATCAACTGCTGTATAAGTATCTTCTTCTGAAGGAGTAATGCTATGCAACGCTATAGGATAATAGTGATGATGAGTAATTAACAATAAGTAGTAACATACGATTAGGTATAAAATCTTTATTCAAGCTCTCAACCAATAAAAGACAACTTGTAGGAACAAAACAAGCTCTGCCAGGAGGGCTACTAAAATATTTCTGATCTCTCCAAGTCCCATCATTGCATCCTTCAAGGGATTGATTCTAATATTAGTAGAGATAAAGATTATTAGCATGACAATAAAATTAATGCTTACTAATTCAATTCCGGCCATTACTTCAGTGGTATCAGGCAACTTGCCAATCCACATAACTTTACCTTGTAACATTAACGCTTCACTAGTACATGCCTGTGTAACTATATGAACTGGTAAAGTCACAAAGACTCCAACAGATATGGGGGAATATTCTTTAGAATCTTCACACGACGATTCTATAGGCTGAGTAAGAGTATCATTAGGTTGAGGGGTACTTTCATCCAGTGTGACTTCTTTTACTTTGGACATCTTCAGAGAATGAGCATGTAATAGTGCTGCCTTCTGGGTAAAATACTCTTCAATACTGAAACCAAAAACATTTGCCTCTGCTGTCATCTGCTGTAACAATTCTGTTTGCTGCTTGTACTCATCAGCATGAACGACAAGCTGTTCTGGAAGAAAAATTCGACTAGAAAATAAGCCAACTCTGAAAATCTCTTCCCGATAGCTACGAGCAACATTCAAGTATAATTCAGGAAAATCTCGGTCATGCTTAATCTTGGCATCCTATGAGTAAAACATTGAAGCATAAAATTGAATGGAATTAGCTTACTGTTTCGATTCCAACAGCAGATATTAATTTGTCAGAATATTCAGTGACACTGACACTGCCAGTCCATTTGACTTTACCCATGATGACCAATCCCGATACAGGCTGCAGTACTATATGATCGCCCTTGTTGAACTTAGATGAGGCATCGGCATATTTAGCTTGCCCAGATAAAAAGATACACAAACCAGAGTTTATAGGATACAGCAAGTGAAGAATATCACCACTAGAGATCTTGTGGTCTGCCAAAGTTGCATCATCAGCATAAATATGCTTGCCATTGAATATAAGACATTGCTTGTTGATTGGTATACCTTCCTTTGCTACTATCATAGCTTTGACATGAGCTATAGTATCAGTAGACTTTACTATCAATTTAATATGATCTTTTCCACTGTAGATAGGAAGTGTTTTAATGCTAATTTGAAATGAAATCGCCCCTTTTATTGTGAACAGAATAACAGAGCCGTCTTCAATTTTGCAATCTGATAAAGTAGACAAATCATCATTTAATTCTTTGCCTTTAAAAATAAGACACTGCTGGTTAAGAGGGACCCCATTCCTTTCTTCAATTGATTGTTTGATAGTTTCAATGGTGTCTGCTACTAGATTCACGTCAGTAGAAAATATTTCTCCAGTCACAAAACGAATTGAAATTATTGTGAGAACAACCAAGAATATCGTAGCCTGTTCAAAAATATCACAATCTGTGACAGTGCAGTTGAGTTCCTCTGAAAGAGTGCGGCCATCAAAAAGGAGCTTTTGTTTAGCCACTGGTATATTTGCCTCCTGTTGTATTTTTAACTTTATATCCTTGACAGTGTCCAGTTCATCTACCAGTAAGGTGACAGTAGCTCCTCTAGTTCCAGAAAGAATATTGACAAAAATCTCTAGCTGCACCATTTTTCCTAGTCCGATCTGACTGTCCCGGCTGGACAGGCTCCAAAATTCCTTTAAAACGGGCCTGGCCATTGACGCCATTCAGACTAATGAATAATTAATTAACGGTAGTCAGGAAAATGGCTGCGAAGCTGCACGTGTCACCAGTCTCCCACTCTCCAATTTCCTCAGTATTTATGGCAATTGTAACTGTGCGGCGGGTGTTGTATATTGAGGCATAGATGATTGAGGTGAGATATCTGCCACTGTTTTTGCTTGTTTTATATTTAAAAAACAGACGAAGCCATCTGGTTTAAGTGACTAACCATTAATTATTATTTGGGTTTTGCCAGTGCTGCATGTATAGCAGTATTGCATATAGATTAATTTTTTGTAATGTTTTGGTTTTGTGCTCACACTTTGTATTTTTTGCAAAATTTGACCACAATCACATTAGACTAGACCACACCCACTATGTGAGCACATATCGACATAGATATTGTAGACTATGTAACCGGCACAGAAAACTAGGATTCAACAGTGGACAATGTCTGTGATTGGATTGGGCATTAAATAGAATAAATTGGACCATTTGGCTTGCTTACTTCCATGCAGAATTAATGAATCTTTTGTTTTTACTTTTAAGCAGTACTGTAGTCAAATGCTTTGCATGAATTTACTGAAATGCTAACCTCCCAATTTATGCACACCACATCAAACTATCTTCACCCAAAAGGAGAAACCTCTGCTTTTTGTGTAAAAGCTGTAACATGTACAACAGTGGACTATTCGCAGAAACAGTAATTTTAGATGTTACTCCTCTAACATAGCAAATCAGTAAATAAAAGTATGACAGTTCCATGCACAGTGATTGTGGCAAAATTTTCAATGATATTGTTAGTCTATTTTTGCCCGTGTGATGAAGCAACAGGCACATAAAGTTTTGCAAATTGCAACTAACACAAATTTGAACAATAGCACAGTATATTTGCAAAATAACAATGGTATCAGTATTTTTTCATTGCATTCATGTCACACAAGCATGAAAGTATTGAAATGTTGTTAAAATAACAAGAAATCAACATTGATTTACATAAAATCTTCTTTTAAATGCCCTTAATGAGTAGTCATTTTTTGACAACACCCACCATAGTGGTTTGAATGGATCACGTGAGCTAGTTTCCTGTCCTGGTTATGTAGTCTATAATACCTTTGATATAGAGCAGTTGCATTGACATCATAATTACTTCTGTATGGCAAAATATTAACGAGCCTCACTTGTTTGTAAGTTGTAACAGCAATAAATTTCCTTTTTTATAACTTGTTTCATATAGCACGAGTGACGATGCAAAAGCAGTAAAATTATGTACAGAAAAGTAGCGATAACAATGAGTAACAGGACACAGCTTTGTTTCCTTTGACTGCTTTACTGGATTTTGTATCTTGGACTTTTTGTATACTGGAGTCCATGCAAATGAAAGAGCAATATTAATCAGCCATGTTTATTGTTAGGGAAGTTTGCCAGAAGAGTTTATAGCACGTATTGTATAGGTAAATGACAAAGTACTGAAAGTAGCCATTTTGCCATACGGAAGTAATATGGCATAGTGTGACATTGTATGAAACAACCTATACATAACTTTAATTATTTGATTCAATTTGGAGCACTTAAAAATTTAATACCTTATGGCATTTTTAGGATAATTTCATCAACAACCTGTGTCCAGAGGTGTTATTAGGATAATTTCGTCAACGACCTGTGTCCAGAGGTGTTATGAGGATAATTTCGTCAACGACCTGTGTCCGGAAGTGTTATGAGGATAATTTCGTCAACGACCTGTGTCCGGAGGTGTTATGAGGATAATTTCGTCAACGACCTGTGTCCAGAGATATCTGGTATGGTATAGCTTTTAGCTGTGGGAGATAATAAAATAGTAAGGTTAGTCTGTTTATGTTTTGTGTTAAAACTCAAGAAAGATACCCTGGTATAATTTTTACGTTATCATATTCGTGTACATGCACTGAAATAAGTAAATCTGTAATTTCTTAATTGCATTTTCTCACTTTAAGGAGGTTTTAAATTGCAATGGAGAAGAGAGTTTATTTTTATCTTGAGTTATTGCTGCCTTTTAATCAATGCACTCTTATACTTTGAAAGTTAATAAATTTTAGCATTCACCTGACTAAGGAAAAGTCTGCATGAAACCCTGAGCTTAATCTGTTATCTCTTAGTACATGTAATTAATAATGATTGGAGTACAGCACACTCTATTTGACATGTATATTTGGTTATTTGACATTAAATTTAGTGTTGGGTGTGGACCATTATTGGAAATTTTGATAACCTTTGCCATATATTGTCTATTTGTTTGGATATCTGTACAATGTACATATGCCACAAAGTCTCACAATATCTGTTGATATAATATATACTGCACATAAATGTACCATGAATGTAACTTCAGAGTACACACACACACACACACACTGCATGAAGTGAGCTTATTAGTGTTCTACATTTGTCTAGTAATATGTACATGCACGCACCTGGTTATAATTTAGTAAGTAATTATTTTAGTAATTAATTTGGAATGCACAGTCAACCAGCCTTCCTTCTAATATGTTTGGTTATGACTTAATTTATTACCATGCTACATGTACATGTACATTACATATAAGAACTATACTGCACATGTAGTAGATTGAATGAATGCATGCATGTACAGTACCATGCACTCATGGTCAGAGGCATGTGTCTATTATCTTTTGGACACATCACACATCACGTGGTGCTCAATTAACTTATCGTAGCACATGCCCATCGATCAATAAATGTACATGTATCACATACGAGCGTTGACTCTAGCGAGTGCACTCGTGTTAAGAGTACTTGACCATCAAGAACTATAAAAGCGAACGGTTCAGTCAGTTTTTTTGGCCATGGTTTTGCAAACATTCTGATTCTGACACTTATGCCAAGATTATCTCTGGAATTGAGGAGGCTTATTGTCACGCTATGCCAGAATGGAAGCTCAGTCAAAGATACATGTACATGTATCTCTTGTTGGTTATCAGACGGTAGAGTAATTGTTAGCCACACATCTTTGTACAAGCTACTAAAGAAGTACAAAAAGAAAAGAACACTAGGAGATCTATCGAGAGCAACAGTAGTTCCTATGCTAAATGAAGAGCACTTGGTATTCATAGACATTGCTATTGCAGAGAATGACGAGACTACTTCCACGAAGCTGCTAGAACTATTGACAGACAAGTGGCTGACCCTCCAAGTGTCAAAGCCAACTATCAAGAGAGCTAGAAAGAAGTTAGGCTGGGTTGAAACAAGACCCAACTACTGCCAACTTGTAAGAAATGCAAATTAAGAGAAGAGATTAATATGGGGCAATTGTGTAACAACATTGAAGATGGCCAGAGCACAGTGATCTTAGCTAAGCCCATGCTGCTCCCTCTTGTTGATGACATATGGTATCACTATTTTTTTGTATATAGTCCATCATAGTAGCCTCATTTGACCAATGATTTTGACTATATGTTGTATGCCAGTCTGCAGGAAATAAAGTACCTTTTGTTAGATACCTTTGTGTTGAGCCTTCATAAATCAGCTGTACTAGCAAAAAATTCCTAACAATGAGCAACCAAAAACAGCATTGTTTGCCTTTTATCTTCAACGGTTGTAATTTCTACTTGTGTTGTTCCCTTGTGTTCCATTGTCCAGGAACTTGAAGGTACAATTTTCATTGCCGTCTGATCCCAGTTTTTGACCATATCAGCTGGGATACTTCCATCAATTTGATTGTTTTAAATTTTTTCAAACCAGAACTGCTCCTTAAGTCCAATGAAGTCATTAGGAATTACTTTTGATTTAGAACAGGCCCTCCTTTTTGTAAATCCCATATGGTGCAAAATACTTTTTGCTCATTCTTTATTGAGCTCAATTATACCACGAAATTCTTTCAAACTTGTCTTGTTCATCCTGAGTGAAACCCCCATGACCAGTTCCAATAATCACACTTGTTCCAACATGTGCTCCTCGCTTCCTCATTTCAATAATAATCTTCTGTAGATATTTGTCTGCTTTCTTACCTAACAATGAAGGTCTACAACATACATGTATCTTTGAAAATAATTCAGTTACAAGAACCAAACTGGTTTCTTCTAACACATCACAATGATCCATTCTCTTTAATTCATCCTCATAGGCCTTTTTCCAACCCCTCACATTAGTCTCTTTCAAATTCAAATCTTTAAAATGCCTCACTGCTCTCATTATTAGCATACTTTGCCACTCTAGCCTTGTCTTTTGGGTTCACTTTTAAGTATTCTCTTCTGCTCTTTAGCTCTGCCAGTTTCTTTCTTCATTAACACTGGTATGATTATGATTGTGGATGGTACAACTCTAGATAAAGGACCATTTGGATTTAAAGCTTGTTCATCTTCTTTACTTACAGGATGAAAGAAACACAAAATATACATGTTTGTAACATTTGCATGTGTGGTAGGCGTGAACAGATTGGTGTGGCTGTTTATGGGTGTGTCATACCCCCACGTGTGTTAATATTTTTGGGTTAAGATTTTGCGATTTCCTAGCTGCTTGCGAAAAATGCGAAAATTAATCATCAGCAAAAATTTGTACCCATACGGCAACATGAATTGCTTTGCTGTTCCTGGTTCATCATTCTATGGATTAAAGTATATCCTTGACTATTAGACTCTGAAAGTGTCTGCATGCTACTGGACAACATTGCCATATTTTCTTGATATGATTCTTCTGCTTTCTCCATTTTCTCCAATGATCTCTTCTTTATTTCAAGCTCCTCTTCAGTGATCTTCTGTAATTGTACATCTGTATTTATCTTTCTCTTTAAATTTTTGTGACGATGCTCTAACAGTTGTTTATTGAGGAGATCTCTTGCTTTGCACTTCAGTGTTGGCATTGTTTGGGTTGTTACTAGTAGTGCCATCACTGGTATTAGCATGTGGTACCTATTGTACTGGTTAATGGGTGCCTGTATGTCTCTCCATTGTGTTCAAATGTCTAATTATACCAGTGTCATAGTTTGTTTCATTGAATTTGTCACTTACAGTAAT